ATTCGTTGTTATATCGATCCACTGAAAGGATTCGTCAATGTAAATATAAGGAATGATATTTATTTTTTCAACATTTATGAGGTCATAACAACAATGGGTTTTTGGACATATTTTACATGAATCGCTAACGCGATTCATTCAATATGTCCATAAACCCATTGTTGTTATGACCTCATAAATGTTGAAAAAATAAAAATCATTCCTTAAATAATCTCTGTAGATGATATACCGAGATCTGTAAAGTAATAATCTCTGTAGGTGGTATACCGAGAGATGTAAAGTAACAATCTCTGTAGGTGATATTTTTATTTATTTTTATTTTTTATTTTTTTATTAAAGTCTGTATTATGAAGTATGCCGGGCAGCACGTTCGTTTTTGAATATTATATAACTTTTCCTGTCGAAACATCGGATGGCCGAACGAGACCCGCAATGATGTAAGTTCGGACAGGCATTCGGGTAAGTTCGGCCCCCATTGGAATCATCTTAATTATGACGTACCAAAAGCATGCAACGTCAGATTTTACCGCCAATTTTACGAATTTTTATGTGTTAACTACATGGGCCGACGTTGCCATGGTATTATTGGTCGAACCTGTTCGGGCCCAAGTTGTTTTTTTTATTATTTTTTTTTATTCAATTTTTCTTTTTTATAAACAACACATTTACACACAAAGCAACAAGCATACATTACATTGGTTACAATTCCCTTCACAACGGACACCTCTTTACAAGAGACTAATTATATACTGTACACATATACACATACACACTCACAGGGGGGGGGATTGTAAACTTTTCTTTATAGTATAATGATAATTGTTCACATTATTTTATAAGAGAAGCCAATTTTCTACTTTATTAAGCAAGACTATATTATTTTTATGCTTAATTATCAATATCTTATGAGATTTAAGTTCAAAAAGAATGTGAATCTTTAAACTTGTTATATTAAGTTCTATTTCTAGGCATTTCATTTTAAAAATGTATTGTTTAATCAATAATAGGATAAGATTATCCACTATCAAATCAGCATCCTTTGAACTGAATTGTCCAAATATAAATTCCTGTTTGTCAAAATTCAAATCAATATTACTGGTTGCAAGCAATTGTTTTAGTTCTCTCAAAATTTCACATACTTTACCACAATCCCAAAATAGATGTTCAATTGTTTCTGGAAATCTTTTACAAAAAGTACAAGTTGAATTTTGTTTTATTCCCATTTTTTGTAGGAGTGTGTTTGTAGTTAAGATTCTATGGTTAATTCGGTATTGAAGCCATCTTAATTTAGTACTTTCAGTAGTTTTAAAAGGACATGCATAAATCTTTATCCATAATTTGTCCTGAATGTTAAAAACCGTAGACCATTTCCTTTGTGACGTGGGTTTTGTATCATTTCGGCATAAAACAGCATAAATATCCTGTGCCCCTTTAGTCCTCCTTAATATAATATTAAGATTTAAAGGTATATTAGGTAAACAAATACTCTTTTCTAAAGCAAAGATTTCTTGTTTACTATTTATAAACTGTTTTATAGCACTAATTATACTATGAAAAGTTAAAAAATTGGACCTTATATCATATCTATGTTGAAATTCTACAAAATTATAAAAAGAACCATCTTCTTTAATTACATCATATATAAAAAGCACTCCTTTTCTATACCACTCTTTACAGAAAACAGTCTTATTGTTTGTTTGGATATTGTGATTATACCACAAAGGATTTTCACATATTTTTTCACTATATAAATTGGACGACACTATTGTTTGATACCATGCTTCTAAAACGTGTTTCCAAAATTTATTTTTACATTCTTCACATGTAATTTTTAATTTATGAATTCCACAATTAGCTAAAGAGAACTTATCCATGTAGTTTTCAGGAATTAAAGTCCAACTAGCATCTTCTTTATAGATCCTCCGTACCCACGTTGCCTTTAGTGCTGTTATGAAAGATTTTAAATGAATCATTTTCAAACCACCATGTTCGTATGACTTAATTATAACATCACGTTTAACTTTATCAGTTTTTCCGCACCACAAAAATTTGTATAATATGTTATTTACTTTTTTTATATAAGAGTCATGTGGGTTTGGAAGAGCTATAAAAAGATGATTAAATTGTGAAATTAGCAATGTTTTAATAATGGTTATCTTACCTATTGGAGTGAGATTTCTTCTATTCCACGAACTTATGAGAGATTTAAGTTTAACAAGTTTCTTATCAAAGTTTAATTTAACTACTCTATGTAAATCAACATCATATTCAATGCCTAGCAAATTAAAACGTGTACTTCCCCACAAAAGATTGTGCTCTGTTGTATATTTATTATTACTATATTTTTCACTGCCTATCCAGATTACCTGGGTCTTGGTGAAATTCATTTTAAGACCTGAAATTCTGGCATAATAGTTAAGTTGTTGTAGCGTTACATTTAAAGATTTTTCTGAACCGTCAAGGATAACAGACGTATCATCAGCAAACTGTGATAAAAGAATTTCTCTGTTATTTACAACAATACCGCTGATATCAGAATTATTTCTTAACAGAATCGATAAAATTTCAGCACATAAGATAAAAATATATGAAGAAACAGGGTCCCCCTGACGGCATCCACGCTCGATAGTGAAAAAAATGGATAAGTTCCCTCCTATGTTAACTGCAGAGCGTATATTTTTTTGAAAAAGGTTGATCCAGTTAATAAGTGATGGTCCAAAATTGAAGAAATTTAAAGTTTTTGTAATAAAATTCCAAGACACAGAGTCAAAAGCTTTTTCAAAATCAATTAACAATAGAAGACCAGGTATGTCATTTTCTTCAGTATAATGCATTAAATCATAAATTAAACGTGTATTTTCTCCAATATATCTACCTGGAATAAAACCAGTTTGACTGTTGCTAATTAATTTAGTTATTATAGTTTTGAGTCTTTCTGCTATCGTGCCGGATGCCATCTTATAAATAGTATTGAGAAGTGTGATGGGACGCCAATTTTTTAGTTTATTACGGGGTTTGTCGCCTTTTGGGATGCATGTTATAATTCCTTGTTTTTGAGTGACTGACATTTCTGAAACTGAATAACCAAAATTAATTGACCTGACAATGAAATGCCCAAGTTGTTTCCAAAATACTTTAAAAAATTCAACAGAGAAGCCGTCAGAACCAGGACTTTTATTATCCTTCATTTTCATTAGTGTTTTTGCCATTTCAGATATAGTTATTTGTCCTTCTAATGATAATGATTCCAGGGGAGATAATTTAGGTATATCATATGGATTAAACAAGTCCTCTAAGTTTACATCCTGTATAGCAGTATTTCTTTTGTACAAATTTTCATAAAAAA